GGGGATGTGGGACTCTGAGAACAGCCCCACTGTTTGCAGTTCTTCCTGCGGCAATACTTTACTTTGTAAGAGTAACAGGATGCTCAACTTACTACCTCCTTAAAGTGCTCACTTGTAATTTTGTGAAGTCCTACAAAAGTACAGTCTAACAATAGCACCCACCTGCTCTTTGGAAAACCTCAGAAGTCTAAAAGTAAGAAGTGGTAAAGTAGTTATGCTTCTTCTCATGCTACTCAGTCTTCAGTTCTACATTTCTACTTTTAATTTCCACATTCAATAATAAAAATGCTCAAGAGTATCACATTAAAGAACCAGAGCAGGATGCATGTGCCAAGTAAAGGGTCAGTAAAATCAGAACTTGCCAAGCTAATTCACTTCAACTCCGGATAGATTCAAACTGGAGCCATCTTATAAGCAAACCAGAAAGACAACTGGTGACAGCTGAAGTAGTAAATAATAACAATAGCTATTATGTTGCTTCAGACATCAGAAAGCATGAAACTGAGTAGGGATGTTACATCAGAGTGAACCGAGGACGCTAAAGTGAGGTCCTTCCACTGCTCTTAGCTCCATCTCCAGAAGAAACTCCAGTTTTCTGTCAGTGACTCATGAAACTGGACGTGCCAAGAACCCTGCAGGAACAGGCAGTGGAGTAGTGAGACAGACCTTCAGATCCGGCTCATCCCAGGAGAAAGACAAAGGAATTCAACATCTTTTCTATTTTGGAAAATTTTTCTTGATTTCAAATGCAGAGATGATTTTGTGGCTAAATAAGTGAGTGCAACCCAAGGCTGGTATGTGATGAGAGAACTCCTGTATCCTGTCAGAATGCATCTGAGCAACTGTGCATCACAGAAGTCTTCTCTGACCCATGCAGTGAACGTACTGACTCCCTGAACAGGAGATCCCATCACTGCTGTGGTTTTTTAAGCAGAGCTGATGTTGTGTGTGTGCTGAAGGCAATGTGGGCAAACCTGTTCAAACCATGAGGGATGAGAGCATCCACTCGGAGCTGATAACCATCACAGCCCAGAGCCAAACTAAAGCACAGCTTTGAGGGGGGGAAAAATAACCTCATTTAAAAAGCAAATTAATAACAAGCACAAACCTCCTTATAAATCATTGCATTATTTTAACTTTCCCTTCTAAGAAGGAAAAAGCCAGCACTGAAATGAGATGCATTAGTTCTAACCTAACCCACGGAGGCTGGAGGCAGCCTTCCAGACTAATGAGCCTCGTCCCTTTTCATTACATGCAACCTTATCACACGCTCATTCATAAACTAATGGGACTCTTCTGGAAGCCAGTACTCACTCTGCCTTATCTAACAATCACCGTCAGGTTTATTTCTTTACATCCACCTCGGTACCTCACTGCTTGTCACCTTGGCTCGTGCACTCTGCCTAAAAGAACTCACATCGATGACAGTCCACGTTCATGTGGAATCTGGCCAGCCTGAGTCAAAACCTGGCACCACTGGAACAGGGGATGGCGTGATAACAGAAAAGCAAAAGGAAAGACAACAGAGGGGCCAACAAGAAACCTGAAGAGGGGCTTTTTACAGGGTGCCCAGAGAAGCTGTGGCTGCCCCATCCCTGGCAGTGCTCAAGGCCAGGTTGGACACAGGGGCTTGAAGCAACCTGCTCCAGTGGAAGGGGTCCCTGCTCGTAGCAGGGGCTTGAAGCTGGATGAGTTTTAAGATCCCTTCAACCCAAACCAGTCCGGGATTTGACAAGGAAACTGAGAACTTCACCATACTGAACTGAGAGAACACTCTTTGCTCCTACTAAGCACTGGGGAAGCTGAAGAAAGGACCAAGCACAGCTCAGGGCCCAGCTTAGGTGCCTAAATGATACACAGCAGAGCAGACCTGACAGCAGGCATGACAGAACTGGGAAACTCAGCACTGCAACCTGTTTTGAGTCACACTAACTGAAAGGGGGTTTTGTCAGTGAAACTGCACAACGATTTGTAGCCCCTCACTTCAATCCATACCTGGCTTAGAACCAACCACTTGTTCCCAAGTTACAGATGGGGATGGGAAGGGAGAAGGAACACAGTGTTAGTCTGAAGAAACAGAGAGCAAGCCGTCAGGTTATGGGAAAGTCTGTATTTCAGGTTTAAATTTAATTAACTGAAGTGTCTGTGCTGCTATTTATTTGAATCATTTTAAAGAGATACAATGGTGGACCCCATCAAAATACACTTAAGCTGATAGCAGAATGCAAGAGGGAAGAAGGCAGAGGACGGGTGAGCTCTGCTTTCAGGAACACGCAGGGCGATTCAAAACAGGAAGCGTGTGATGAAGGCAAGGCCAAGCCATGAGCGTGAACAGTGAACTCCTGCCTCAGGATAGGAAGTACCAAAGAAGGACATGTAACATCACCTCCTGCGAGACAAAAGCATGCATGCTTCACCAGAGAGCAAGTTCTTTATATATACATATATACACACATATGGGTAAGGCAGCAGATTTCTCCACCAAGATCAAGTAAATGTGTGACAGTGCTATAATGACACAACACAACAAAATGAAAGGCCATTTTATGAGATCACCCCAATGATGATTCCAGCACACTGCACTGTCCCAACGAGCTTAACAAATACACGCACAGAAACAGCTTTATCTCAGCATCCAAACATCACTGATGTTTGCAAGCATAGATACACTGCCTCATGTGAGATAGGGACAACTGCCCACAGGAGACACACAGCTCTACCTATCACAAAGCCAACACTCTGTGAAGATAAAAGTAACTCCTTGGGAGTTAATTTGGGATTTTTATTATTTTTAAACAAAAGTCCTGTTTTACAAAAGTTGTTAATCCTATCTTCTGCCCATTCACACCTTATCTAGATTACAGCCTTTTAAGTCCTTTCAGTATGGACATAAGTAATTGTATTGGGAGAACCAGCACAGAACACAAACTAGGCACCTCTGATAAGGAAAGACAACAGCAGCTAAAAAATAAACACGGCAGTTTTAAATGTAACAACAGCAGGGCTAGAGATGGTCAGAAGGGATGGAACTGACTTTCTAAACACTAGGTTCATTCCAATCAGCTCACAAATTGACCCACGGTCAAGACTGCCATTGTGCACAACAGCACAGCACGTGTTTTATAAAAAAAAAAACGTGTGTTTTACAAGTCCTTTGGACAAGGGGAAGGGGAATGGCTTTAACCTGCCAGAGGGGAGACTGAGATGAGCTCTTAGGCAGAAGCTCTTCCCTGTGAGGGTGCTGAGGCGCTGGCACAGGGTGCCCAGAGAAGCTGTGGCTGCCCCATCCCTGGCAGTGCTCAAGGCCAGGCTGGACACAGGGGCTTGGAGCAAGCTGCTCCAGTGGAAGGGGTCCCTGCTCGTGGCAGCGGTTGGAGCTGGAGGAGCTCCGAGGTCCCTTCAACCCAAACCATTCTAGTTTCTGCGATTCCCAGCGGCAACCACCTCCCACCCTTCACCTCCGCGACTCTAAGAGCTCTTTAAACCCGACTTCCTTAAGCCAGCCTACTTTGCACCAGCCTTCCTCCTTCCTGAGCTCCAGGCTAGCTCCGACCCGGCCCCCCTCCGCAGGGCCCCCCGAGGGCCCCGCCGGTAGCCGGACCGTGCGCTCCGGACCCAGAGCCGGGGGCAGCTGGAGCTCCCTCAGGAAGAGGCCCGCTGGAAGCGCGTCCAAACCCGGCTCCCCGCCGCGGGGGGGGTATCACCGCTACAACCCAGCGACACCCGCGGAGCCCCCCGGGGCCGCCCCGCTGACAGGAGCCCCCCGCCGCGCCCCGGTACCTCCCGGCCGCCACCTGCCCGCACCCCCTCAGCGGAGAGACACCGGGGGCGGCTCCGAGGGAGGCTCCGGGCTGCCCCTGCCGCCGGCGGTGCCTACCCGGGGCGCTGCAGTCGGCGCACACCTCGCTGCTCCTCAGGCGCTTCGCCATGGCGCGCACGGGGACTCCCGCTTCCCGCCGCCTTAACGGGCCCCGCGGCGGCCCCGCCAGGCGGCAGCGCGCTTGCGCCGAGCAGCCCCGCCCACCCCGCCGCCGCCGCGCCACAGCGGGAAGCGCCGCGCCGCCATGTTTGCTCCGGGCAAAGGGGCGGTAGGCTGAATGGGCGGCCATGTCTGATCCTGGCAGACGCCCGCTTCAGGCAGCACCCTGCTCCGCTGGAGAGCTGAGGTTCCGCGGGGAGCGGCTGTACCGGTCCGGTCGTGGCCCTCCAACCGGGGCGGAGGCGCTGGAAGCCCGTCCGCGCAGGCTGGCGGAACACGCTTCTCCCCATCAACGTCTGCCCTCACCCATCATGGCGGCGGCAGAGCGGGCGGGCGAAACCAACGCGTGGTGGCCGCAGGGGGGGAGCAGCGAGCGCTGAGCGCCGCATCCGGCCCAACACCGCGGCGCACCGTTCCCACCGCTCAGAGGGCTGGAAGCTCCGTCTGCCCGCCCGCGGTGGGGGGGAGTAGGGTGTGCGGGGAACAACGACTTCTTCTCTCCGTGGGCTTGCTGGTGGGCTGAGGGGGAGTTCTCCCCCCCCGCAGCGGGTGCGCTGTAGTTCGTCCCGGCCGCTGCCCTGGAGGGACGGTTAGGAGGGACGCGGCGGCGGCGGTTGTTGTGGGGCCGAGGGACCGGGGGCCCAGAGGGGTGAGGGGTGGTGGGGAGCACCGGGAGTAGGGGCCCAGGGGCGGGATACCCCAGCAGTGTAGGGTTGTGGGGAGCACTAGGGGTGCGGGAGAGCCTCAAGTGTGTGTTGGGGGGGCGGGGGTCGCTTGAGGAGCCCAGGAGCATGGGGTCGCCGGGAATGTGGGGGTCTGGGGAGCACCGGGAGCAGGGAACCCACATGAATGGGGGGGTGTAGGGGGCACCAGGAATAGGGGAGACCTAAAGGAGTGTGGGGGTGGGCTGTAGGGGTAAGCCCAGGAGCAGGGGACTCCAAGGACTGGGGTCCGGTGTGCCCATAAGGGGAGACCCCCAGGAGCAGGGGGCTGGGGGGGATCCAAGGAATGGGGACCCCCAAGAGTAGGATTTTGCACGGGGCACCCCTTGGAGCAGGGTATGGGGTTCATAGCGGGTTGTGCTCCGGTGTTACCCCCAGTTCCTGGGTCAGGGGGGTGCTGGGGGAGAAGAGAAGCTCAAGGGGTGAGGGCCTGAGTAACGTGGGGCCTCCCAAGTCAAGAGGGGGGACAGTGAGGGTAGGCACCCTGCTTCCCCGCTCCTGCAGGTGCGTGGCATGATGAGTTCCCCTGGCAGGGCCAGCAGCGCCTTCCCCCTGCACGTCCTGGTCTGGAATAATGACTACAGGCGGCTGAACGAGGAGCTGCAGGACCAGGTAACCGCGGTGCCGCGTTGGCAGCCCCAAAAGACCTTGTGTCCAGTGTCCAGGGGCTTGGTGCTCCTTGCTTCTAGAGAGAAATAACCTGGATGGTACCACCAGGTCTGTTTGCTGGGCTTGTGGGGTTGCTGGGCTGCTTTACCTGTTGATTTGGGGTTGGGGGAGTGACCTAAAGAGGGGTAGGAATATGCCTTTTGTTATCTGTGATATTGATTTCTATAGAGCTGTGCTCAGAGCATTCGAGTGTGGGGTGCAGAATAGCTTTTAGTGTTAGGAGTCATTGAACGAGATCAAGAAGAGCAGATATAATGGACATCAGGTTTTTCTCTGCAATAAGTAAGCAATAAATGCTGCTTACCTTAATGGAAACCTATGTGTAGAGAAGGTGGCTGCTGAAGATGAGACCAGCCTTCAGCTTGCTGAGCACCAGCAGTTCTTCGTTGCTGGCCCAGGCTGTGGTGCAGTGCTTTTATATGGGCTGGGATGTTTTCAGCATCTTTGGTTAGGAAACTGGATCGTTGTTGCATGCTGTGGAGTAGGAAAATAACAAACTGTTCCCTCCTGGGGCCTGCTCAGTGAGCAGTGGTCCTGGTATGAGGAAACAGGGTGAGGAGCTGCAGCAGGGCTCGAGCAGCACGCATCCTCCTCGAGGAGGTGCTGGAGGAGCTCTGCTGCTCACAGTGGGGTTCAGGCTGCAGAAGCAGAGAGTGTTAATTACATTACACCTGACACCGCACGTGTACGAGCCAGCAATGAGCTGTGCCACCACCTCCTGAGTACTCACTGTCATCTGCAACTCTAACGGTACACCACGATTTACTAATGCTTGCTCAGAGCATGCTCCTCTCCTACTTTGGGGAGCATCTTTGGAATGCTGTTACTTTTTATCTCATTCAAGTGATCTTCCTTAACCAAACCTTGGAACCTCACTGGCATGTTGCTTCTGTGCACTTACTTCCCTTCCAATAACGTTCCTGCCTGTGGAAGCTTGTCAATGATTCAGGATCTGCTGTCATTAGTCTGAGGCTGCAGTTCACAGTTGTGGAGTGCTGCTCCCCACCTCAGACAGCAGCATGTTAGGATGGGATGTATCTGTCCTTTTATCTCCTGTTGAATTGCTGCCGGTGTTTTAAAGTATTCCAAAGATACGTGTCCTCCTGCTTCCTTGGGATAAGCTTCTTGCTGGGGGGATGTGTAAGGGAATCAGAGATAGTTGGTGTGGCAGATGATGGGTGCAGTGTGTGGTTACCAGTTAATAGCAGCAAAGATGATGGGGGAAACACCTCAGAGTCCTTCACCTGTCAGTAGGGGTGGGGAAGCAAATCCATTAGTATCCCACCACAGAGGTGGAAAGAGGATGCTTTAAACTGAAGCTTTCCCTACTCTGTGTGTGATGTTTCCAACTTTAACACTGTCAGATAACCGTGTTAACTTGCATAATAACTTTCCTGTCTTATTCTGCTATTGACTTTCCCCTTTTCCTTTAGTTATAGATGCTCTTCTGTTTCAAATCTCTAAGCTAATAGTGAAAAATAAGTAAGGTATGAGTATGCTGTGCTTGCATGTTTTGGATATTTATGCCTGTGTAGTTTGTTTCTGTCTTTCTTCATTTTTTCAGTGACTTGTACAAAATGCACTCACTCCCCATTGTGCTGTGTGTGTCAGTCAGATGGATGCTTTGTACAATACCATTTGCTTCTGTACTTTCAAAGGTGATACACAAAGTTGGTGTTATGTGTGCCCTGTTGGCTTGAGTTTTCCTTTCCCCCCTTATGTTATGTGTGTTAACCCCTCTCTTGGTGTCTCAGGCTGTCCATGGTTCAGTGTGCACACAGTAAACTCTGGTCTTCTTCTAAAGGGAAATAGAGGAAGAAATACTCACAGAAAATGAAATGAGAAGCACCAACTCAGTTGTGTCTTACAGTGATACCAGCTCTTACCATGTTGGTTTTATAGGCCCCATTCTGCTTCTCTCTCTGTATGTCAATGGGGAAGTTAGGCTGCACTACAGGGTGGTAGTGTTGGAAGTTGTGCACCACGGGCTGATATGTGGGAATATTGACTCCTGGGTTACTGCTGCCAAGCTTTGTTCACATAAACCCTCAGCGTGCTCTGCTGCATTTGACAGGGCAGCTTCAGCATTATTTCTCTCTTGGATACCCCACAGGATGTTGATCAGCGCGATCCACGAGGCCGGACCTTGTTGCACCTGGCTGTGTCCTTGGGTTATATAGAATCTGCCAAGGTCCTTCTTCATCACAAGGCAGATGTAACCAAAGAGAATGCACAGGGATGGACAGGTAAGGACAACCTGGGGAGCAGAAGGCATGTGCTGATGCTTTTCAGTTGCAGGTGTTGTATTTGGACTGCTTTTCCATGATGTGTTTTGCCTTGAAATGAAGCTGAAACCAGCTTGTGCCTGGCTTTCTTTCAGTTCTAAACGAGGCTGTCAGTACAGGGGATCCAGAGATGGTACAAATGATTCTGCAGCATCGGGACTACCAGCTGACCTCCATGACACTTGGAGGAGTTCCTGAGTTACTCCAGAAGATTAGCGAGGTAATGGTTTAGTTTAAACCTCTTACTCCAGGCTGCAATTCTCATTCAGGTAGTTCAGCTGAGTAAACTGAAATCAGGTGGGCAGTTGCATCCTTTGGCTCAGCTTGCATAATCCACAGTACTGTGGGAGTGGGAGACCTTTTCCTCGACTTCATTTAGAATTCCTTAGTCCTGAGCTCCAGCAGTGGAGGCTGAATCTTGAAGGTGAACAGCTCATTGTAGTTTCACTTTTTAACATTCATTTATCACAGCTCTAGTTCTGCTCTTTATTTGTTTCCCTTTATCCAAAATGTTCACAAGAAATGCTGTATTGAACGTTGGACTGAAACCATTTCCTGTAGTATTCATCAGGTATTTTCCTTCTGCAGACTCCTGACTTTTATGTGGAAATGAAGTGGGAGTTCACAAGCTGGGGTGAGCATCCTCATTGTCATCTCTTCTATACTATCAACAAAGGGACTTGCTAATGTATAGGTGTCACAAAAGATGCACAGAGAAATGTCTACTCCCCAGAATACATCTCTCTTTACCTCTCAAAAGAGCCTCTTTTATTTTTGTTGCACAAATATTCTTTGTTTCCTGTTTCTTTGGGTTGTTTCTTGAGGGCTTTGTTTTGTTTTTTATGGAGTTTAGGCATCACTAGAATTGCTGAAGCCTTTTCTTGGGGCTTTCTTTATCTGTCTGGCTGCTAATGACTTAGACAGTGACTCTCTATCGAGAGGCACAGACTACCTGGGAAGAACCTGCTTTGCTTTTAAAGGAATGAAGGATAGGCCATACAGCTGACTTCATTTTCCAAGCAGCTGTTCGACTACTAGGGGATGGGGTTTGGGCTGCTCCACACCTTTTAGTCTGAACTGGTGTCATCTTCCTTTTCATCATCATCTTTGAGTTAAAGTTGGTGGGGTTTGTCCCTAAGCTGGTTGTTCTGAAAGCTAAAGATCAGTATCTCCTCTGGAATAATGATCATAGCATTGACAGTCCTGTATCAGGGATAAGCTCCTGCTTGAGCTCAGGCTCCCTGTGTATTTAGTTCCTATCTACAGTTCTCTCATTCAAGAGAATCTTCCTCTTTTCTAGTCCCGCTGGTTTCCAGGGTCTGCCCGAGCGACGTCTGCCGCATCTGGAAGAGCGGAGCCAAGCTGCGTGTTGACATCACGTTACTGGGCTTTGAGAACATGAGCTGGGAGAGAGGGAGGTGCAGCTTAATCTTCAAGGGAGGAGGTAAATACTTGTGCATGTCTACACCTTTGATGACCATTGTGAGCCGCAATAAGAAATCCTGATTTTGGCCAGTTGAGGGTCAGTACTGAGTTCTGGTTGGTTTATACACGTATTCTGTGAGTGTCTCGGAGAGATACTGTTTTGTGGTTTAACATAAGGGCTTCATTTCTTTCCTTTGAGTATATCTGAGGTCAAAATTTAGTAACAGGGCTAAAATTTTACTTCAATCTTGTACTTTGTTTTCCCCTTTCTGTTCTTCTGCCCCCAAATAAAAATGATCTTAGATACAGCTCCAAGTTTGCAAAATGCACCCTTGATTGACATACAGCATATTGTCAGTTTTTCACCCTGGGATACTTGCTAAGATTCCTTTAGATTGAGTTGTACTGCTTCCAACAGATACTGGAGGTTGGGCAGAACTGATTGAGATCAATCATGATGAGAAGTTTGTTACCACGGAGCGTTTTGAGATCTCCCAGCAGATGAAGCATTTGACGTTGGGATCTATGACACCCAAAAGAAGAGATGTAGAAAGACGCCTTACATCTCCCATTCTTAACACGTGCCTTGATACCAGAAACATTGCTTTTGAGAGGTAAGATACAACATTTCCCTTCAATAAACACTTCAAGGTTATGGATGGTCATTGTTAGAATAAAGCTTTACAGACAAAAGCTTAAAAACCCTGGTAATAAGAAGTCTTAGGGCTAGATCTGAAATGACTTTAAACTTCATATACCATTGGATAATGAAATTTGGCTTGGTCAGCTTGCCACTGTCATTTGGTAAAGAGCTTCCAGCTGAAAGAACTGATGTGCAGAAAACTTCCAGTTTATTGTGTTAGTGGGATCAATGTTAATGTCTCATTACAAGTCTGCCTTTCACCCAGGTCTGTGTGTAGTGCTGGAACTAACAGGGAGGAACTTGCGTCTTGTAGCTAAGTCAATGAAATCTCACATTAATACTACGAAAAGATGTGTATAGTATGTTCTTGCCACAGACACCCATTTGTCTTCCTTGTTTGCTACCTGCTTTTATCCCAGTACCTGTCCGCTTAGTTCAACCAACCTATTTTATGAAGCTCCTTTTGGAGTGCTCTGTGGTGCAATAAACCACTGCCATGGTCATGCAAAACATATGTCTGCAAAGTGAAATGTCTAGTTCAGCATCTCTCTCCTGAATATTTAGTACCCTGCTAGAGCTGCCCAGAGTTAGTCCCTGAGTTCACTGAGCCTTAGGCAGCACCTACACATCCGGACACTAGGATTTCTTAGACAGAAGCGTTCCCACTATCCAGCTCCCCAAGCTGCAGTGACAGGTCATGTTTGAAATGAAACTATGTGTTTAATTATAATTGGGTAAGTTTTTAGGCTGCTCACCTCTGTGGCTCAGGTATCCGCATCTGGATGTAAAATCTCTGTATAAGCCTTTTTGCTTTGGCCATGGACTGAGTAAGAACAGAAGGGGTGTGACTTCCTCAGCCCTGGTACATGTGTGAGGACAGGTCGACCTGTGCTTTTGTCTGGGGTTAGTAATCAAATAACCTATCAAATGTTGTTTAAAATCAGCTTTAGAAAAGCAGGCTGGTGCTTGTGTAGAGATGCAACTGTACAGACACTTGTGGTGTTCCCTTTTTGTCAGAACCACATCTGGATTCTGGGTATGGAGGACAGAAAAAGCAGAAAGTGTGAATGGTTATGAAGCAAAGGTAAAGCCCATTCTATTCTGTTAACAAGTCTTGCAGCCAGCTGAAGTGTGATCGTGTTTTGCCTTTATTTCCTGAATACTTCAGGTCTTGAACCTTGCATCAAGAGCTTTACTGTCTTGCCAGAAGAACTGGGCAGGAGTGAGTTGTACACGGGGTTCATTAGTGTTCCTGCAGAATTAAACTCACTAAATTTCTCTTCAGAAACTGCTTTCTTTGACTTCCCTTCCCTGTTCTTAACATCTTTGCCCAGGTGGGGATTCCCCCCAGTGAACTTGGAGATGCCAGTCTAGTTCTGAGGTTGGTTTAGTTAGTTACCAAAACAGGTGTGGAAATCGTGGGTGAATTGAAAGGCTGAATTCTGTTGCTGCCAAAGCCAGTGACCAGACTCCTGCACCATTGTTTTGGCACAGATGTTTGTGAGATTGGTGCATTATTTGCAGGGTTTCTTGTTTTATCAGCTTGCCCAGCAGGTGGCATGTGCTTTCAGCCTTAGCATAGGTCAGTCACAAACATAATGTGTATGATTTCCATTAGAGCAAAGCAAACAGAAAAATCAAGTGCAGCATTTCCTGTTGATCACCAGTATATTAAAAGATCAGGATCTTTTTCAGTGAGAGGCAGATCCACGCTGCTTTGTTCTCTCTTTAGGTCTGTGTCTGTGGTGTTTTACTGGAGAGCTCTCTTTTTAACCTTTGGCTTTTTGATTTTTGTCCTTGTACTTTAAAGGTGTATGTGGCAAACAATGTGAATGTGGTCACCAAAATCCGCACAGAACACTTAACAGAGGAAGAGAAGAAAAGATACAAAGGTAGTTTTCCTATAGGATAACTGGGAATAAGTAGAACCTTTTAGCTCTGATTCTGTCTCTGTGTGACTGCAGGACTGGGCAGATAGACAAGGGAAATACTTACCTTGCTGGCTTTGTCCTGCTTTACTTTAACACGTTTTGAGTCTCTTTTATTGCTAATTAATAGTAATAGATTGTTTTTGTTTCCCTCCTATTATCTGAAGCTGACAGGAACCCCCTGGAATCATTTCTGGGTACAGTGGAGCATGAGTATGGTGTTCAGGTGAGTGTTGAAACAGGGCACTGCAGCACGGAGATCTGTGCCAGCAGGAATTCTAAGTGTGTGGAATTGCCTCTTTCCTTAGTTTGGCAGGAATTTTGCTTATTGAGGTTTAAATTTTCCCTGAGGATGTTTCTGTTTGTTTTAAGCCCTCAAGTGTTCTGCATGCACAGCAGGCAGCTCCTTCTGAACACTCTAATGGAAAACACAGACTCCATTAGTGCAGGAGGAGTTGAGGTGTGAGCAGTGGCAGTAGATCTGAGCAAGCACAGATCTTAGTGGCAACCCACCAGTAATCTGGGAAGAAGAGTCCATTTGTTTCAAATACTCCATTAATAAGGGATTTGGAGCCTAGAAATGCTGTAGGTTGTGTGTGTGCATTTCTGGTTGGGTTTTAGCTTCTAAGTATTTAAGTAGATTTTTCCTGTCTCTAAAAATGCATGGAGATCTTTACACCCAGTAGAAAGCAGTCTGAATGTGTGTGCTTGGGTTTATGGTTGTGACTGGTGTCTTAAAATGGAAAACAAGTTAATTCACAAGAGGTAACTTAAATATTTGTTGCAGTAGCCACTATTTGTTCCATACTTTTGGTTGTTTTTTCCCTCTCTTGTAGAGTACAACCAAGACAACAGAGTATGCCGCAGCCAACAATCCAACTGCTATTACTCTGGAGGAATACTTTGACCCAGAATTTGATCTGAGAGGTCGAGACATAGGCAGGCCTAAAGAAGTCACCATCCGAACACAGAAGTGAGACATAAAGTTTTACTTATGTCTAGTTTCTCTTCTCAGTCATCTAATCTCTGGAAACCATAAATACCCACTGTGGTTTCCCCCAGCTTTCCAAATTAATCAAGAGAGATCTTGAACTATTCAGCTATAGCCTAATTCTTCTTCCACTAAGTCAAAGAAAACAGTTGGACTAGTGTTGTAACTTGTTAGTAAGCTGCTGCTTTGCCTTTGGTCTGACCAGGAATGTGGTTTGGTTTCTCAGAGCAGTCACTGGTCGGACTCTGAAGTGTATGAAGCAGGTGACAGAGCTCTGCATTTTGCTTCACATCTGTTGCTAAACCATAAACTTAAGGTGGTTTTATGCATCTTTCTCTTTAAGATTTAAAGCAACCTTGTGGATGAGTGAAGAGTTTCCCTTGTCTCTTATGGAACAAGTCACTCCAATCATCGACCTGATGGCCAGAACCAGTGCTCATTTTGCCAGACTTAGGGATTTCATCACTCTGGAATTTCCACCAGGATTTCCTGTCAAAATTGGTAAAGTTGAGCAATTTTTATTGCAGAATCTTCTGCATTTCCAGTTTTTCTCTTGGTTTCATAGCCTATTTACAAAAACCATGTTAGTTTTTTACTAGACATCTCACCGATACCTAGAACTGAGAACCCAGACTTACGTTGTCTTCTACATCTGGGGTCATTGCATCCAGCTTCTGAATGACCAGAAGTAAAACTGTCAAGACAGCATCATTTCAGGAAGATTGAGCTGTTTCTAGCCCTCTCCTCTTAGTTCAGTGCCTTAGATTTGGCAAATCTTACTGTAAAATAAAGAGATTGAGAGAGAATGACTAAGGGCAACTTCTTGAAGTGAGTTGCTATGTGCTTTTCATTATAGGATGCTAATCTATGTTTTATATATATATATATAGTGGAATGCATTCAGTAAATGTGGCTGTAGGTGTGGAAGTGAATGAGGGAATTCCCTGTTTGACAGAAATCTTGTACTCTTTCTTACAGAAATCCCCCTGTTTCATGTGCTGAATGCCCGGATTACATTTGAGAATGTCAATGGCTGCAGGACAGCTGACAGAACTTCATCACAGATGGCTGGAGGTGCACCCTGTGATTCAGGTGAGGGGTGGGAAGATGCAGTGGTTGCATCTTTTTGCATGCCTGTCAGTGGGATGAACAGGAGAGAGAGATGGGTTAACTGCAGAGATAAAACACTCACAGGTGAGAGGAAGCTGGAGTGTGTGATGCTGCTCATACTGACCAGTTCTGCCCCTTCCATGCTTGCCTGACTAAACTGAGTTTGGACAAGCTTTCCCAAGTATTCTGACATGTAAATTCTGGTGCAAGCTATTGCTAGCTAAGTCTGCATGCTCCTTCAGGAAAGAGTGGATTACACTGGAGTAGGATGCTCCTGACTGTGTATAGCCAGTGATACGCTGTCCTATGAGCTGTTGCAGACCCATTAATGAGTAACCTCAGAAGAGCCACTATGATTTTTATCTTTTCCAACCTTTTATTTTCCACATCTGGTTTTGTCAGAGTTCAGCCACCTCAGAGCTCTGCTGCCCACTCGTTGTGTTTGTAGCACTTGCCCACATCCTAAAGAAAGACCCTGCATTCTGTCTTGCTGTGTGCTTGTTTGCCACAGAAGCCTTTCAAAGGCTGTTGGTATGTTTAAGCAGGTGGTTTATCTGAATTTTTGGAGCTGATTTAATCATGCATGAACATCATCAGAACAAGTCACAGCTTGTAAGAACAGACTATGTCATGTTTGTAACTCTGGCTTCTGCAGGTGCTAATTTTGAGGTCGACCAGTCGGTGTTTGAGATCCCCAAATCTTACCACGTCCAAGATGACAGCAGGAACATACACGTGCAGGATGAAGACAACGAGATCATGCAGTTTGCCATTCAGCAGAGCTTGCTGGAATCTGGTGGAGTTAAAGTAAGTGTGCTGTAATTCTGTGCAGTGCAGAGCTGAGTTTTAATAAGGATAGTGCAAAACTTTGATTTAAACCAGTGTAAGACCTGTTTTTCTAAGACCCTCAGAAGAGAAAAATACAGAAATGTATTTTAAAGAAGAAATAAGAGGGATTTAAGTGTTACCTTTCAGTGAGTTGCACTGCAGGTCCATTATTGCTGTGGAATTGTCTGTCTTTCCCCATTTTAGGATGTGGGGGTGCACACCAATGGAGCCATTGCATACTCACAGGACTTCAATATACAGTATCAGAGGTAACTAATCTTTGTCACATCGAGCCATGCAGTGAGAGAGCAGGAATACTCCCAAGAGTAGCATGAAGCAATGATGCAACTCTTGTGTTTGTGGGTAGCAGATGCACAGAACTCAAAGTCTCTTTTCTTGTGCTGCTTCTAACTTCTACTTTTCCAAGCAGCAAGGACTCTAAACTAGGCCTCTCTGGCTTATTTAGTGCAGCTCTTTAGGTCAGCTACGGGACTGGTTGGCAACTTAAGTCTTTACCCGACAAATACACACAGTCCTTCTGCTCTTAAAGCTGTGCATGTGGTCCCTCTGGGTTGATTGTTTAGTAGGTGCTGCACACTTCAGGGTGGCTCTGTAATCCTTAAAACCTTAGCAACATGTATTTAATGGGCCCTTGAGCATATGCTCCAGTGTCTGTGAGGTCTTCCTGCATGTGCGTGCCAGGAACTGCTTCCTCTTGATTCTTTTGGATGTGGGAAATCATGTTGCCTTTGAACCAGGTGAGAATGCTTTTAAAAGCTGAGAATTCTTTGGTATGTGTGAAAGATTCAATGGAACCTTCAGAGAATAGGTTTTATGCTTGGAATTTTATGGATGTTGGAACAACTGCTCTCTGGGGAGAGATTTTCAGGTTTGCTGTTAGATAGCAGTCTCTAGGAAGGAGTATGGCAGGAACTGTGAAATAGGCTCTGTCTCTCTTCCTTCTTGAAGTTCTTTCTGTCCTCCAGGGCACTGCAGGAGAGCTTTCTCACCAGCTCGGGTAACTCCCAGTGCAGCAGCCCTAGTGAGCCTTCCAGCTTTGAGAAGGACTTGCAGCTTGCCATGGAGTTGTCTGTCCGAGAGCAGGAGGAGCGGGAGAAGCAGCGTCAGGAAGAGGAGGATGCAGAGCTGCAGCAAGTCCTACAGCTTTCCCTGGTGGAGAAATAACCCCTCCGTGGCCTCCTGAAATGAGGATGAGAACCAAATCTGCACAAAACTGAAGGCTTTGGGGCTGTCAGGCTGAAGACCACTCCTGGATTGCTTAAGTAAATGTTTCACCTGCCCTCGAGGTTGGCACCATCAGCTACCAAAAGCTGAGTTATATTTGTTTGAGGGAGTTTCAGGCCATGGGACTCTGCATGTGGCTCCCCAGTGCCGCAGTCTTGGCTCTGAAGGAAGGTTTTTATCTAAATGTATTTATTGAAGAGCAGATGGAAACTTTGCTTAGCATCAGGATATAGAATCGCAGCAAAGCTTGAAAACCTGATTTCCAGGGAGTTTAGGAGGGAAACTTCATTACTTACCAAAGAAATATTCACCTGCTTAGTCATTTCTGAGTAATTCAAAGCCATTGCCTGTTTCTTCCCGTTGTGACATGGAAGAGTCTCTACATGCATACACACATAGGGTAGTTCTTTGTGCTGACAGATGGTTTCTGTTAGCTTTGTTTATATGTGATTCTCTCTTTAGTTACTGAGATTTTAGCATGTGCTCCTGCTTAAGAGGGATAATTTTATACTTGAACAGCTAATCCAAGCTCCAGATTAAACTAGTGCTTTCTGCAGAAAGGACAAAACAAGCAGCCAGTAAAAGCAGATCCTAAACTGGGACCATTTGCCAAGTAAAGCAGCAGTTTCTGCAGCGATTCCAAACCAGCTCCTTCCCGTAGTCAGAGGGCAGCAAGAAAGTAAGTGCTAGATACAGGTGCTCCTCTGCAGTCACTCGCTGCGTGCACGAGTGTGCCTGGGTGTGGGTGCTAAAGTCAAAGAGGAAAACAGGTCAGGTGGAATTTTAACGTATCCTTAGTGGAAGGTAAGTGTTAACCTGCCATCGGAAGGGAAGCGCGTGTTGCTTTTTAGAACTCAACGGCTCATCCTTCGTGTGAAGACATATATTTTTTTATCTGAGTATTTTTATTGATTTTAAAGCAAGCCAAATAGGCCTCTACTCCTCCAAGTGGCATTGTATGGGTTCACAGGTCTCTTTTAACCAGCTCTCCTCAGGTCTTTTCCTCATAGGAGCTATTTGTAGCTGTTTTATCTGCACTTCTGTCGGTGTTTACAGTACTCACACTGTGACTCTCAAGTGCACTCCACAAGTACATGATGTACATCCACGGGAAAGCCTTACTGTAGTTAAATGTGAGCAATATTCCTCTGTTCTGGCTGGCAGAGTGGGAAGAACCTATGGTACCTATGGTCTGATCTTACTACCTAATCCTGCACTTGTTCCTCGGGCAGAACAGGGCAGTTCTGTGTGACCAACTATTAACCAGTATAAAATCACTCGATCGTAACCAGGGCGATGGTTGGTGACTTGGAACCTTATTTTAAACCAATAATCCATTCTTTTACATAGGAAATGATTAAAATTCCTTCAGCATACACTACAACTGGTTTATCTGCATTATTTCTGTTCATCCGAATGGCTTGGGGGGTGGTGGGGGGAACGTTGGCTTTCAAGGGGGGGGGGGTGGCCTGAAAAGGGCTTTTGCATCGTTCCACCTGACCAGGAAGGCCATTCCCTGTACCAGGAGCTGCTTTTCTTAAACCCCAGCTTCCCTCTGACACTGTATGTATGGGAAGTGTCCTCTTAATCCTCTGTGTGTGCTGGAAGAACAAAGATTCTGCACAGCATTGCACTACATAAATTAAGTATTTTATTGCTAACACAGTAACTGGAGTCCTTTGAAATAATGACCTGCCTTTTTGTACATCAAAGGTGATGCTATGGCTATGGATTTATCAAAGGTAGCTCTGGTGTAATCTGAAACACAGACATAATCCCTGGAACCACATTGCTGACGCTTTCAGCCAACTTTTGTGTCTCCCTGGTTTGGAAACCGATGGACCCATGGCAATGAAAGGAAGCACCATGGGACTCCTGAGCTCCTGCTTCTGTACCTGCCTTTGTGTGAGTAAGAGGAGAGGAGCAGCAGAGGGTGCACAGCGTGTTTAATGTTAATGCTGTGTAAAAGCTGAGTCCAACCTCTCTTTCCAAGGAACCTCAAGGCTGATGTGGGAAAGCAGCAGCTCAAACACCTCTAGTTCATTCCAGAACTACAATTGGCTTTTGAAGTGTTTGAGATGGGTGCTGTTTCCACAGGGTTGGTGGTGTTTGCATTTGGTTTTGAGACTTAAACATGCTTTTTTCTGTGCTTTTGGACTGTTTTAAGCATACGGGCTAATGTTCAACAGCAGCAACTGATGATGGGCTTAATGTGGATGATCCTTCTTACACTGCCTGGGATGTCTTTTGATTTCAAAATGGAATCTTCCTAACTGGACTTTACCTGTTTATGTCACTGGTGAGTGCACCACGCTCAGAGAGTGATGTCTGAGGTCCTAGTTACCAGTTTCTTGCTGAAAAACACCCAAGAAAACAGGGGCTTTGCCCAGTGCTGCTGTCCTGGCCCTGGTCAGAACTGAGAGCTGATGGGAAGTGAGAAGGGGACAGCTCCAGAATTAACAAACGGAACATCCATGAATAAAGAAGCGCCTTGGGCTGTTTAGTCAGCTTTTTATTTGTACAAAGAGACGTGGCAGGGAGCGAGGGATGAATGCAAACCAGCATGCTGCTCCAGGGAGTGCCGAGCTGGAGCTGTGAGCTGCATCCACCCGCCAGGAACAGCCGGTGAGGACCGAGAGGAATCAGCAGTAAGGACTCGGAGATCAGAGTGAAAGGGATCAGAAAGCAGCAGGCAGCGTTACCTTGCTTCCTCATCCATGTTTCACTTCAGCTAATACCTGGATCTGTTCTAGACCAGCCTCCTACTGGAGCATGAGCAAAGCAAATTCCCCGTTGCAATCATGGAGTAGTTTGGGTTGGAAGGGCCCTTCAAAGCTCGTCTAGTCCAACCCCCCTGCAGTGAGCAGGGACGTCCTCAACTAGACCAGGTTGCTCAGAACCACATCCAGCCTGGCCCTGAATGCCAGCAGGCAGTGTCCTTTAAAACAAACTGAAGGGAGAACACATCGGATGCAGCACAAGGGTTTAGGGAACAGTCAGCACAGTCGTTCCAGAAGGGAAGTTTTAAAACACTAAATAAATTACTAGGCAGACCCCCCTATGTTAAATAACAGGTATACTCAAGAAGCAAAATCCAGTTACTACTCGGAGCAGTGCAAATGAAAACAGCAGCATTCATACCAAGTGGGATTCCAGTGTAAACACCTGAATCTCTTACTGGTGGGACAGGGCTGGCTGGAGCTTCCCCACAAGGAACCTCCAGGAGCTGGATCCCGGTAGTGGAAACCCTCAGCTGCATCCCAGCTCCTGACAGGCTGGGCACGGACATTTGGTGCAAGGTGGGTTGGGGCTGTTGAGCCGAGAGTTAAATAAATACCATGGGGAATGACAAGCCTGTCCCAGAGCAGCTACACCAGGAGCTGCTCCTGCTTTGGTGTTTCTGCCCTTAGGGAAACATGGGCCAGACCCCGCAGCTGCCAAACTGCAGTCATGGAATGGTTTGGGTTGAAGGGACCTTAAAGCTCCTCCAGCTCCAACCCCCTGCCACGGGCAGGGACACCTTCCACTAGAGCAGCTTGCTCCAAGCCCTGTCCCACCCTCAAGATTCATCATTCAAGCGAGGAACCGAGTTAATATGAACACAAAACTATATGTGGTGGAGCCGAGCACGCTGTGAGCAGCTGGCTGTGCTCTCCTGCCGACCCAGGGTGGTTCCAGGCACCGATCACTCCAGCACATCCTGACGGACCAGCCTCGCTGAAACGCTGCTCAAACCCAGCCGGGTTCACTGCGGGAGGTCCGGAGTCAGCCTGCCGTGACTGCCTGCACCCGGCCACGCTGGTGCTGATGCAGCCACCCACCGCATCCATCAGGGCATCCTGCAGCTGGCAGGAGATGCAGCGGGCGGCAGGGCTGGGTACCAGGCGGGAGAACAGGGGGGCACATGAGCAGCGCTTCCAAGGACGGACCCAGGCTCGGGCCTGGCTCTGGCGCCGCTACCGCCGCCGCACGGGCTTGTAGACGCAGATGGCCATGAGGATGATGGTGAGCAGCAGCGCGCTGAGGATGCTGCCGAGCAGCACTGCGGGAGGGGGACACGTTAACGGGCCCGCGCGCTGCGCACACACATACACACCCCCCACACACCCCGCATCAGCGTCAGAACCGACCCGCAATTAACGCACAGCGTTAATTAACGCCCCGGCCCTTACCCAGGTTCTGTTTCTGCAGCACGGCGAAGGGGCGGCCCCGCTCCGCCGGGCCCAGCAGCGCCAGGGCCGCCAGCGCCCCGCGCCCCACCGCCGGCATCCCGCGACGGGGCGGACCCAGCGCCCGCCTTTGTGCGCCCGCACCGGGCCCGCCTCTTCCTGCAGCCCGGCCCCGACCGCGGCTCCTTCCGGGGGAGCCGGGGCAGCGGGGGGGGTTCAACGGCACCGGGTCCGCCAGCCCCCCCCCCCCCCCCCCCCAAGCCGTGCGTGCCCCCTTAGTCCCCTGTGGCCCCGAGCTCCATGTGCCCCTTCAGCCCCATGCCCACCCCAGCTCTCGCTGCGCTCCGCTCCGCCGCTCTGGCTGACCCTGACTGAGCGGCGCCGCCCGGAGGGGACGGTGACGGGCGCCGCTGCAGAGCAGCACAGGCTGGGGCTGCAGCCGGACCAGGAGCTGGTGCTTCGCCTGCACCGAGGTGAATGTGGGTTCTGGGAAGTGTTTAACGGGCGTAATCAGTGCGGAGGGATGCGGGGTTACTGGGAGGAGCGCGGCGGGTTCGCACCTCCCTGATCCAACAGCTGATCCGGTAGCAGCAGCTTTATTTCCCAGGTCACTCACGGCGCAGCTACAGGCATGCACTGCTCCGGCCGCGGCACGCCAGGCAAGGTCATAGAGCCCCATAGACGGCGTGTTCACCGCTGGGCAGAGCCTTCATCTGCACCGGGATCGGGGATCCCTCGAGCAGAAGGAGCTCCTTTGGCCTCTTCGCTTCCAGCCCATGGGAGCCAGCGGTGGGCCCCGTGGTCCCTGCTGTGGACCTGAGAGCAGCTCAGGGGAGACGCGGGGGGGCGGTTTGGTGTGAGCAGGGCGATGGCAGCGGCTCTTGTGCCTGCCCCATGGCTCACGCAGGGCAGGGGCAGGAGGCCGGGGCAGTCTCTGCATCCCCTGGACGTGCCGCCAGGCTACAGCACGGGAGACATGGGCACGGCCTCTGCCTGCGGCGCTCCTGTGGCTTTCTCCGGCCAGAGGCAGACAGCGAGGCGCTGGGGAGAAGAGGCAGTGGGTTTCCTTCCTGCACCGGGGCCTGGTGCCGCCTTAAAGCTCCTCCAGCTCCAACCCCTGCCACGGGCAGGGACCCCTTCCACTGGAGCAGCTTGCTCCAAGCCCCTGTGTCCAACCTGGCCTTGAACACTGCCAGGGATGGGGCAGCCACAGCTTCTCTGGGCACCCTGTGCCAGCGCCTCAGCACCCTCACAGGGAAGAGCTTCTGCCTCAGAGCTCATCTCAGTCTCCCCTCTGGCAGGTTGAAGCCATTCCCCTTGTTTTATCCACCCAGCCCTGCTCCTCGGGTGTGATTTAACTGCCACATGAACAACGATGCTGAGGATGCATGAGCCATCTGCCCAGCTCACCCGAGTGGGTCCCTGCCCACCCTCAGCCCTTGCAGGGGCCATGGCATCGCCCTGACCTGCTTGAGTGACCCCGGTGTCCAGACGAGCTTGTACACCATGTAGAGGGGGATGCAGATGAAGGACGATGCTGCTATGAGGTACCCCACCGAGATGCTCCACTCAGGGTACTGATACTCAAAGAGGGTCAGCGGCGGCTGGTCCAGGAGGGAGCTGATCACTATGAACTGTAAGCAATGGAGCAGAGAGGGATGCTGAAGGGGCTGGACCGCAGCAGGAGATACCCCACTGCCGGTCACCAGCATGTGCGGCCCCAAAACCCACGTGCACGACATGGGTGGCACAAACCCTCTCTGGGGATGCTGCAGTGACACTTCCCAGCTGCCAGGCGTGGGGCTGGGAGGTCTTCATCTCACAAACCCCACAGGGACCGCGGCGTGCGCAAGCTGCACGTCCCCACTGCTGAACAGCATCACTCACTGTCTGCTTTGATGATAATTCCTCCCTCCTAATAACCACGGCCAAGCGCTCAGAGCACTAATTAATCCTCACAAGGCCTCTTCTCCCGCAGATGTGGTGAGATTAGACCCCTCTGCCTCTAAGCAGCCTTTGAAGTGCTGGGCGAGCTGCATTTCAAAGGGGACGGATCCAGCTCGGTGCTGTACCCGTGGCTGGCGGTGCCAGCACAAGTGTGGGACCAGGAGCGTGAAGTGAAGCTGTGCTTGTGCCGTGTGAGCCGCCAGCTCCCAGCTCCGCCCCAGAGCTGCAGAAGGGGCTGGAAAATGTAATTCCAGCTTGTGCCTTAGTTAACCCGGCTGCTCCCGGGGGCAGCAGCAGCGTAAGAGGCTGGGACAGGCCAGCCCTGCCTTTAATCCTGGCCGTGGACACTCACCGCCAGCAAGGCCGGGCTGATGGCCACCCAGCACACCTTCCAGAAGACACCCGGCGTGAAGCCCAGCATGGCTTTCACATCGTGGGAGAACCTCTGTATCCCTGCGGAGGAGAGAGCTGTCGCAGCACGGAGATCCATGGGGAGCACGGGCATGGGGGCATCCGTGCAGCGCCCCGTGCCCCATCCCACACGTGCCTCTGCCCCTGGCTCCCGTGGCATTGACTCACGTGCATGATGCAGAGCATTGTGTAGGGGCCTGCAGGGGGGTTTGATGAACTGAGGGGGTTTCTTACCATAAACCCAGGACACAGCGATGGTTTCCAGGAGCACCACGGCCAGGATGGAGCAGCCGGCTCCAAACTCCTCCAGCAGCTTCACCACGTAGGCTCCCCCCTGCAACAGCACAGGGAGAGCGGCTGCAGGGCCCATAGGGAGCAGGGGAAGCCCTGCCCCAGGGGATGCCGGAGATAGGAGTGGGGATGCGGAGGGATGGGAGCGGAGCCCGGTGCTGCTCACGTAGGTGAGGGTGCTCAGGGAGCCCAGGAAGCACACGGTGATGAGGCCGAGCACAAAGAGCTCCCGTCGCCCAGCCAGGACCTGCGGGTACTCGTCCATCACGGCCGTGATCACGGCCTCCAAGCCCCCGAACTGCAAAGGAAACAGCAGAGGGGGTGGAGAAATGGGATGTGGGGCTTGTGCTGCTCCCTCGGACAGTCTGGTCCCATCCTGTCCCCTCTCTCCCTGCCATGCTCGGCAGGCTGCCCTCCTTCCCGAGGCCACAGCATCCCCTGTCACCCACCCACTGTGAGCCGTGGGACGCCAGCCTGCACCCACCGTGCTGTCCAGCCCCAGCGTTATCATCATCAGGAAGAAGATGATGGCAAAGAAGGTGGATCCCACCATGTTGGCGATCGCTTCAGGGTAGGTGATAAAAAGGAGGCTGGGCCCTAGGAGGGGACAGGGGTGCTGTTCCCCGGCTGCTCTGGCACACGCAGGGGCAGGACGGGGCAGCTGTGATGGACGGAGGGGAACCTTTGTCTCTGGCGACATCCTCCACCTCCACGTCCCTCATCTCAGCCATGTAGCCCAGCACGGCGAAGATGACGAAGCCCGAGAGGAAGCTGGTGAGGCAGTTCACTGCGCTGGTTACCAGCGCGTCCCTGCAGGGCAGAGAGCAGGGATGTGTCCCATGGGAGAATCCCACCCCGGTGCGGCACCCCCAGGGGTTCCCTCTGCAGCCCCACACACCGAAACCACCAGTGAATGGGGCAGGATGCTCGGCCCGGCGCACAGAGGCTGCGGGATGCAGCTGAGCATCCCGTGGCTGCAGGAGCTCACCGGTAGCAGTTGTTGTGGAAGGGGTTGTAACTGGCCAGAGCGAGAAGGACACCGAACCCGGGGCCCAGGGAGAAGAAGATCTGCGCGGCAGCATCCACCCAAACCTGGCAGGAGAAGCAACAGGCAGGGCCGAGGGTACCCCCCGGCGTGCCCGCCCCACGGCATGGGGATGGGGTCTGCGTTGGCACATGCTGCCAGACCTCTCCTGCCTGCCCCATTCCCCTGGGAGCAGGGAAGCTGCTGTGGGATGGAGGGGGCTCATTTCCACGCTGGGCTCCTGCAGCAGCAGGATTGAGCATTAACATCTGTGTGTGCCCGTGTTTGCAAGGGGATGAGATCGAGGGGAGCCCCGAGCCCCCCATGCCTGCTCCTGCCAGGGCAGCCTCAGTGCTGGCAGCGGGTCCTGATTCTCCTTAATGAGAATTCTCAAGTGCTGCCTGGTAATTACCCCCAGGAAGCCCATTGTGAGCCCAGGGCACAGACAAAACCCGGTGGTGATGAGATGGGTGATTCAATTACAGATTTACATTACAAGGGCCTGTCGGGGCCTCTGTTCCTGTAGGAACCAGGGCCCCATTGCCAGACTCATGGTGTCTGTGCCAGGGTTTGGGCGCTGGGGTCCCACCGTGCACTCACCGCAGTGCTCAGGAGCTTGCCCCAGTCCGGGCGCAGGTAGAAGAGGACCCCTCTCCATGCCCCGGGCAGGGTGGCCCCTCGGACCAGCAGGATGAGGAGGACAACGTAGGGCAGCGTGGCCGTCACCCACACCACCTGCAGGGAGCCAGCCCTCAGCACAGGAGCACCCAACCTGCCCGTGTTGGGCCTGGCGAGGGCTGGGAGCACGGGGAGGAGGCAATGGTTGTGTTTGAGCAGGCAGGGCCCCCACAGGGACCCCACCGGGGCTCGCTGCGTCCCGACTGGCCGTGGTGGGGATGCTCAGCACAGGGATGGTGCTGGGTTCTCTTTCTTACCTTCCCAGAGGTTTTCACCCCTTTCCACAGGCTGAAGTAGACGATGGTGAAGATGAGGAAGAGGCAGAGCAGCAGCTGCCAGCGGATCCCCCCCACATCATACAGACCCCCGGACTTCTGGACCTCCAGGACCTTCCTCCTGCAGGATGGGAGCCCCGTAGCCAGGGATCAGACAAGTCCCACCTCACCTCTCCCCCAAGCACACCCATAGCGGGGACCAGGAGCTCCCCAAGAGCATCCCCACGTGAGACCCTGCTCCCTGCATCCCGGTCCTGCTCCCCAGCACCTGAATGCCTCCAGGGGGATGTGCCCCAGGTTAAACACCTCGTCCACATACAATGTGTTGTGCTTACGTGTAGAACTCTTCAGCGGGGGACCTGGAGAAGTTGGTCCAGGTCACGTTGCTCCTCCCGAAGTAGTTGGTGCAGTCGGGTGTGTTCCAAGGGTTGTCGCAGCTGGCCCAGGGCAGGGAGCCCGAGAAGGACGAGCACAGGTAGTAGAGAGCCCAGGCGATGA